CGAACTTATTTCACTACCAAGCCTTTCACTGCCAAGCCTTTACAGTCATAATGAGTGAAATGATGGTTTTCAAAGTTTTGATTATTTCACTACCAAGCCTTTACAATCATAATGAGTGAAATGTTGGTTTTCAAAGTTTTGATTTAAGTGTCATATATCTTTATTAAATGATCGCATCATCCTCAGCTTTGGGCTTAATAAAAGTAAATTATCATCTTTCTGGCTTAAGCCCATCACTTAAGAATCATTTGATCTTTAATTGACTTCCAAGTCATGCAGATCAAATTTCATATTTTTTGACTTTTAATTTATTTATTATAACTATTTTTAGTGAGTAAAATTCCTTTTTAAGCTTTTAAAAATTTATTTTTAACTTAGGAAAATTAGAAAAAATATTTTATTAAATCTCAAGTGATCAGAGAGCAGTTATGGAAATTTTGAAATATTTTTGTATTTTTGTATTTTTGTAATTTTTATTTATTCTTAATTATTTTAAATTCAAAATGAGGCTAAAAATCAAATAATTTACCAAAAATAAATTTTATTTTTCTGCCTCTAATCACAAGGAACTCAGAAAATTGTTTTTCATGATTTTTCTAAGTGTATTTAATTTATTATAATTATTTTTCAACCAAAATACAAGCTTTCTTAAAAAATCCACTTTAGTGCTTATATTAAGCCAAATAATTTTCAATTTTTTACAATGGGTAGATATGATTTTTATGAACAAAGTGCAGTTGGTTTTGTTTAGTGCAGTTGGTTTTGTTAATTTTTTATGTTTATTTAATTTACACAAATTAATATAAGATATTCACATTTAACTAAATATAAAAATTCACAAAATATATAAAATTCATAAAATAATTCAAAGCATCACAATATTTTTCCTAGACTTTTCTAACCACAGAAAACCTACTAAAATTATTCTCATAATTTTTCAAGTGATGTTTTGATTTATATAATTAAAAAAAGCCAAAATGGTCATCTTAGCTTAAAAATTACGATTAGAAGCATAGAGATGCTCTCTGACCATGAAAAAACCAGAGAACATCTCCTCTGTGATGTGGAATAAACACTCAAAATTTCAAACTATGGTGAAATATTTTAAGCCATGGAGAATTAAAATACCACAGAGGGTATTTAATTCATTAAAAATAATATATTTGAAAAATAATTTTTATTTTTTGTCCACCTTATTCTCTTTTGTTCACTAAGCAAGAGAGTATTTTTTTTATGATTTTTTTAGAGAAAGATATGGACTTTTGAAGTTTAAGCATTTAAATTCAAAATTCCATATTTTTCTACTTATCCACGTGGCACCAACTCATCTCCGTTCCGAAGGCTCCACGCGTCGCTCTGCCATTCGCCGTCGTCGGCCATGTATCCTCCATGCATACCGCTCTTTATGCACCATGAGTCTGTTTGGCTTGATCTCCTCCGTCCGTTGATCAGACGACTCTCCGTTATCGTCCTAAAGTGACCTAGCCCGTGAGCCGTTCACACTAAAACCTTTAGATATTGGCCTAGACTCAATCAAATTGCATGGAGTTTGTTTCTAAACCTTCATCTACTCAAGACAAACTTATCTAAATGGATTATATGATATGAAATACAATAAATATGTATGGAGAGTAAAAATAAGCTCGGATTAGGGTTAGGGTTCAATACCTTTGTCTGAGAGGGGATGTCTCAATCAGATGGTTGTGGTAGCTTCTTTTGGTCCCAACGAACCTCCGGATGAAGTCTCAAGCCTTGGTGAATGGTCTAGGTATGAATTCGATCAAGGTGGTTTTCAGGTGTTGGTCTAGAGCTAGGTTAGAGGCTATTTCAGAGGGGGCTTTGGTGGGGAATCAACGTCTCTCAGTGTGAGGATGGTGTGTGCACAACTAATTGAAGTTTGGTGAGCTGTGGAGCTGTGGGGAGTTGTCCTGATTTTGGCAGAAATTTGAGCTCAAAATTGAGCTTCCACAGTGGGGATCAATAGGGGAGAATGGTGGGCTTGAACTGAGGAGGTCTTAGGGAGCCTCTGAGAGCAATTTGACAGAGTTTCCTTATGCAAATTTTAGTTCTTTTTTTTCATGGAGGTGAGGTTTAAATAAAATAGCCTAGGGTGGCTGTCCTGGCCAATTTGAGGGGAGAATGGTGGGCTTGAACTGAGGAGGTCTTAGGGAGTCTCTGGAAGTAAATTGGTAGAGTTTCCTTAAGAAATTTTTAGCTGCAAATTTTAGTTCTTTTTTTTCATGGAGGTGAGGTTTAAATAAAATAGCCTAGGGTGGCTGTCATGGCCAATTGAGGGGTGCAAAATAGTGCTTAGGTGGAGGGTTTTGAAGTGCTAAAGCCAATTAGAATTGGCCAGCTCAGAAGGGTGAGTTTGGGTTTGAATTTTTGCTTGGGGCTCTTGGTTTTGGTGTTTTCCGGCCACTACCGGCCACTAGGCCAACCGGCAGGGCCAGGAGAGGTGGTCAAGAGGTCAGGTGGGCCAGTGGGAGTGTTAATTATAATTAACCCTCAATAGCAAGTGATGATGAGGAAGATTTTTTTTTAAGGAAGATTTTTTGTTAAGGGGCCCATAAATTTATGGGCATAAATCCCTTAATTTAGGGATCCAATAGTTCATAGCTCACCACGGTTGGTCCAAGGGGGTTTAGCCTGGACAATAGAGTGTGCTTAATGGCCGTGGAGTCATCAATTTGGTAGCTTAGGCATGGCTAAGTCAATTTTGGCACATAGGTCCAATTTGGGTCCAAATGGCTAAAGGTTGGGTTTGGGTTTAGCTAGCCATGACTTTGAGCCCAATTGATTGATCAACATTGAGTGGATAATTGTCATGAAGATTTTTGGTGAAGGATTAAAGTGATTTTGAGTCCCATTGGAAGCTCAATTTGAAGGAATTTGGTATTTTGGTCAGTCAATTTGGGCAAGTTGGACTAGACTTAGGTCTAGATTGGGCTAAGGTTATCAATTTGGGCAAATTGGACTAGACTTAGGTCTAGGTTGGGCTAAGGTTGGGTGAGGTTCAAATTAATTATTGAAAATGTTCTGTAGGAATGTCATGAAGAGTTTTCAACATAAATTGGGTGCCAATTTTGGGGTTAAGGCATTCAATTTGGTGGAATTTGGAGACAACCAATTTGGGGCAAATTTGGAGATTTTTAGACTTGGGTTAAAATTAAATGAAATTAAGGCTTCACCAAGGTCAAATGAAGGTCAGGTTTGGTGTGTAGGAGTGTTATGAAAGATTTAAGATCCAAATTGGAGCAAATTAAGTAGGTTATGGGGTTCAATTTGGTGGGATTAAGTCATAGGGCAAAAAGTCATAGGGCCAAAATTGAGGGTTTGACTTAGATTAAGATTGAGCTCAAAGCTTGGGCCAATTAGGCTTGGATTTGATTTATATTGGTCATATGAAAGATGCATGTGAGTTTAGAATTGAAATTGAGGGAAATTTGGTCCAAATTGATGGACATTTAAGGTAAATTTGAAAAAATTAGGCCTTTAAAGTCAATTTAGGGGGTTTTGGTTAAAATGATCAAATTGGCCAAATTGGGTTCAATTGAAGGGTTCAAGTTGGTTTTGGAGATATTTGAAGTGATTTGGGAGGTTTTGGGAAAGTTTGGGGTGCCAAGGTTATTTTTGTAATTTTGGCAATTTTTTGGGTTTTATTGCAATTTTGAAAATTTTGGGTGATTTTGGGTAATTTGGGTAATTTGGGTATTTTGAATTGGTTTGAAATGATTTTTGAACATATTTGGGTATTTTGAGTGAATTTGAAAATTTTTGGCTAAATTTAAAGTTTCAATGGCATTTAGGTAATTTAGGTAGATTTAGGGGCAAAAGGTCAAATTGGGTATTTTTATAGAATTGAGAAGCCACCCACCATATGTGAACTATGAACTAATGGAATCCCCATTTGGGTCCTCTATGTATTGGTCTTAGCTAAACCCTAGCCTAGAGCTAGTGGGACCATCTACATGAGTCTCCCAAAATATCAAGGGAACAATGTTAATAATTTTGGGTTTAGGGTTGTGAGTGATTGTGGGTGAGAGTGAGTGTAGGTGAGTGAACTAGTTCCAATTCAACACCCAGGGCTAGCCCTAAGGTTAGACAGTTCTATGGGGGCTCATCTTGAGCTCCCTCCATATCAACTTCATCTACTAAGTGCTAGAGGATAGGACCAACCTGTGAAACTTCAAGATTAACTTCAATTGAGCAAGGAGGAGTCTAGAATTTCTAATGGTGAGGGTTCATTTTCTAGTTTTCTAAGAATAATCAACAAGAGATTTCTATGGCTAGACCTTAGGCAACTAAAGAGAGAAAACTAAACATCGACCAAAAGTGAGGTCAACAGTTTATTGACAACAATAAAAGTTAACCCATTTTCAAGTTGTTGATATCAAGGATAGAAGAACTTCTCATGCATTTAAGATTGGTGGCTTGAGGCTAAAATTATACTTAAGAGGTGATAGCGTTGGCCTTAGAGAAACTCTAACTTTGTGTCAGCCCAAATAATAATTTCTGAAAATAGATAGACCTCTTTATCCTGCATCATGGTTGAATAGGCCGACAAGAGCATTATTAAATGAGATGCACCAAAGAAGTATGACAATAATATAAAATATTACATATTTATTAGAAGATAAGAGGAAAATTCTGCTTCTCATGTGTGTTATCTTGACAAATTAGAGAAAAAGACAAATAAAACATTTTAGGAGATTCGTGTACAATGAATATATTATTTGTAATGTATCTGACAAATATTGCAAAATATGGTACACAACTAAAGCTACTAACAAGTAGGCAAATTGAGATGGTACACAACTAAAGCTACTAACAAGTAGGCAAATTGAGAATGAAATGACCAAGAAAAGTTTGAATTATAGAACCACATCGACTAATCTATATATGACACCACAATAATATAATTAAAAAATAAAATTTAATTTCTTGATGGTATAATCTTGGTATTACATTTACTAATGTTTAGAATATAACAATCATACCTTTGAAAAGCTTTTCTACTAATTGTGCAACAACTGTAGCTTCGATCATGTTTTTTTTGCTTCTTCCATGCTTATCTGCTTCCTCCTTGCCACGCCCAATGTTTATAAAAGAATAAGGACCATAAAGTGGCCCTGATAGATACTGTTTTATATAGCTTGGATCTAGTACATTTTCTCCATCGAAAATCTTGTTTCCATAGAAGGAGATATTCGGAAACTTACTTATGGATGGATGCATCCTATATTGAATGTTTAAAAGATTTTTTTCTTTACCTAATGAGCTCAATCTTTCAAACAAGCTTCTTCCATAACCAGCCATCTCTGAAATCTAAATAAAACGAGAAAGAGAGAAAGTAATGAAATAATTTGGCATCAAAATATGAAATTTTGACAAAAATTGGTCATTATATATACTTAGAAAGATCATAACCTGGCTTTTGACCATGGCTGGCAATTGAAACTCATCCCCAATTAAAACAGCATTTTCTATGCCTGAAATCTGTAGGGGGATCAAGGATTCACATTCCTTAAGCTGTGCAGCCTCATCTACAATCAAAAACTGTAAGGGTTTCTTCATTTCAATTTTATTTAGACTGAAAGAACCACAAGCTGTGCAAAGAATAATTGTTGCCTTTTGCAGGCAAAAGTCTTTCGCAGAAGCATAGTCATTGATATTTGGAAGATCAAATTCTCTAGAAAGAGTCCTGAGTATTTTCAACAAGGAAGTTCTGACTTTTCTCAATCTAATTGTTATTGGAAGATATTCAACCATGTATATATTTGAATCAAATGAGAGCAACATATCATTGCTTTCCTCAACTGTAGATTCAAATAGCTCTTCAAGATCTTCATCCAAAAGTCTTGCTGATATCAACAATTTCCTGAATATTTTGATCAAATCTAAGCATAAATTCATGTATCTAAAGATTTTATCAGGTATGATGCTCCTTGGAAGATCCTTGCATATAACTTCAATACAGTCCTCCAATTCCCTAGCAAGATGATTATATCTCTTCAAGATAAATTCAATGAATGTTTCAACTATTATGAATTCGTCTTCATCCTCTCTTTTTTCACTTTCGTCCTCTGTTTTTCCTTGTTTTTTTTATTTTGTCTACATGTAGCCTATATTGTGAAATAGCATTCTCCAAGAAATCTATCATTGCTCCTACAAGATGCCTCCAACCTATGATAGGCATAAAACATTTTCCTAAAAGCCTCTTCTCTCTGTGTTCGAGAAAGATTTGAGAGAGCTTATCATCAAATTTCATCCTGGAACTATTCCCAAACATGACAATATCTCCTGTTGAGAACTTCATTTTGTCGGTATATTCTTCATCTTCAAGTAATTTGTAGAGGCGTGAAGCAACTTCAACGACAGCAGTATTTGTAGGCGCACATGTGAGAGTTCTGCATCCTTGATTCAAAAGAGCAAGTAGTAAAGTACTTATAGTTTTTGTTTTTCCAGTTCCAGGAGGACCCCATATAAGCTTTATGGGATCATCTTCATGGCTTCTTTGCCTCATTGATAAACAATCTTGCACAACACTTCTTTGTGAGTCATTCAAGTTGAATCTATCCAGGTTGTCACCCACCAATGCATCGAGGGAATTTTTAGCTAAACAAAATGAAGAGCTCCCACTTTTTACCTGTCACACAAAATAGGAAAAATAAAAAAGAGAGCTAAACAAAATGAAGAGCTTTACCTGTCACACAAAATAGGAAAAATAAAAAAGAAAAATCAAACATGCCTAATTACAATTTAAAGATGAAATTTATAAAACTACAGTTAGAAGAAAATCTCTGTTTTTTTAATCCAAAAGTTGAGTAATAGATAGAGCTATTCATATACTAGTTGTCGGATGAAATGAGTGCAATAGTGAAAGTGTGTTAATTTGAAAGATCGAGAAATGAGCTGTTTTCAAATGTTGAGTAGTAGATAGAGCTATTCATATACTAGTTGTTGGATGAAATGAGAGCAATAATGAAAATGTGTTAATTTGAAAGATCGAGAAATGAGCTGTTTTTGATAGATGGTGGAAGTAATATCTCCTGAAGCCTATGATTAAGGGAAACGGAATTCGATCATTTTGATAAGTACATTATAAGTTCAAAAGTATATTTTAATAATAATATTAATGATTATTATCATCATACTTATGGGAAATTAAAGTAGAAAAATTATGTAACGTACCGGGGAACCATAAGATAGAATTTTTTTGATGATGTGCATATTTCTCGTCATTGCCAACTCTTGATCCAGTGAATTGAAGATCCTATTCGATGTTGTCATATTCAATAGATAAACTATAAAATATGATTCTCGGTATGATTTAATGTCCAACTCATGTGATAGCTTGACAATATATAGATCAGAGCCAAGTTTTTCATCATAATCTATGTATCGAATAACATAACCAACAATGTATGAAGTTTCATTGCGTGATAAATCCGATATATGTTTTGGTTTTGTTCGCGTGAGCACAAAAAGGTCTGCATCCATTGGTTGGTAACGACATTTTCGTATATTATCATCATCATCTTCTCCAACTGCAACTTCTGGATTTTTGAGTTTAATACTGTAAACCATCTTAGCCGATATCTGCTCTATACTCTTTAATTCTGCATGTGGTGTTGCTCGAGAATATGTCTCCAAACAAGAACGTAGATCCGCATGAGTTTCCTCTATCAATGGTGTGGTGAAGGAATCAAAATAATGCCCCAAAGACGTAAAAGTTTTGGGTATCTTCTGTACCTACAGGAATTATGAATATTTTGACTTCAACTTTATCAGTAAGTATTGAAGTGATTTTCTAATTAGAAAGCTTATGTTGGCATTTCAAGTTTATCGGAAACTAAATTGCAGATCAAGAATGTCAAATTATTTCCTTTCAAAAGCAAAAAGAAAGAGAGGAAATATTGAAACGTTACTAACATATAAACCAGCAATTTATTAAGATATATAATGTTAACCTTTCTCTTAAGAAGATCGCGATTAAAAACATCACTAAGAGACCAGGAGAAGATGATCGGAACAAGGCTGGCTTTGTCATCCTTATCCTTGAGCATCAGCTTCTTCAGAAAACCGTAATCGTTATCATCACTCCCATCACTCCCATCACTCCCATAGCTGCTCATTTTCTTTGCTTCTTCATGTTCAGAAGGATCAGAAGAATAAAGCTGATGGAAGAGAATAAAGAGGAGTGGAGAAAGGAAAGATCAAGTGTAGCACCTCCACCTCAATAATTCACACTTTAATGGAGAAAGGAGCTCAAAGGTCTCGCCGTTGATATGGCTGGCTAATCACTTGGTATTTGCTTTGGGACTAAGCAATGCATGTATTGTTCGTATGAGAATATACGGCAGTCTGCAGGTAAACGAGGGGTCGTCTTGGAAACCGTTGTGTGCTATTTTTTTTAATAATGTGAAAAAAAATTTGTGTATATTACTTTGAACGTGTGTTTAAAAAAATTAAAATTTGTAATCATTAAAATAATCAAACGGCCAAATTTTTAGCTGGAAATTTTGATCGAAAGAGGTAATATTTTTATTTTCTTCCATTTCATCCTTGACTAAACACAGAAGTAGTGTTTTCTGAACTAGTATTGATGTTCATATGAGATGGTGTACCATGTGATGTTGGAGCCAGATTATTATATGGGCAATATCAAAAAATTACTAACAAGATGTACCATAATGCTAAATCGAATGTACAAAGTGGAAGGGCGGCTCGCCAATTTGCTTGATTAACAAAAATATAAGAGTTGGTGTATCTAAAATCTCTATAATTGTACATCAAGATTGTGTCAATGCAGATCCCGAGGAGATCAAACGGTTCAGAAGTACAACAAAGGATAACCTGTCGTTAGGAGATCAATAGGCTCATTTATCTGATTGGATGCATCCATCCGTGGTAAGGACGAAGGCCAACCAAGCCAGGAGAATGACATAAAGGATTATCAAAGTCCGAACCGATTGGATAAGAGCAATAGATAATCACTCAAGCTAACCACCATCAGAAAGTCGAGCGAAGGCATTGACAGTTCAATCTCGAAGAAAGAATCTAGTTCCTTAGTATCCCCAGTTGTCTCATTTATGCTCCCGAGGTTATTCACCAGAGACCAAGAATTGACAATACAATATAATTTCACAATTACCCGAAAGGACTCCCTTATCAAGGAATGAGCTATTTATAAATTTTCTACACCAAGATATGAATTTTTGAAATTATGATTGATTTTCTAGATTTAAATAAATCTAAAAATACACTAATTTCCTACTTAACCACATGACGTCATGTCATCTTAGGCAAATCCAAAAGGAGGCGCCAATAAAACCACTAAATAACTCAGATAAAACCATAATACTACAATGAACAACATAAACAAACCACGGAATACTATTAAGATAACACAAGAATTAATACCAGCGTACAGTTCAAATAACACCAGAATACTACGGGAATAATATCACGGAACCATGCAATGCTACGTGATGGGCTTCTATTGGTTGCGCTTTCTATGTGAATGCCACGTTCGGTTTATCTACAACGCATGCTTCGACCCGCCGTTCAACTTGATCTCCACCGCTTGTTTCAAACACGCATGATCGAACAACGCTCATTCATCATCCCCAAAGAGCCCTAAATTTAGAATTGTTCGTGTTCTAGACCTAAGATCTCCATAGATTCTCAACAAAATTGAATGGGGTTTGATCCTACACCATCATCTAGGTGAGACAAGTAAATCCATATGGCTAGATTGATGTGATGCATTTTCTTTTGTTTAACAAAAGGTCAAAATTAAGACAAAAATGCAAATCTTGAAGTTACACCTAAGCGTAAGAGGGGACGCCTTGATTGAGGTAGTTGAAGAGCTTCACCTCAAGGTAGCATGCCTCCTCCAAGTGTTTTTTTGTGCTGAGATGAGGTCCAAGTAAAACTTTGACCAAAATGTGGTTTGGGTTCGGGCCTGAGCTATGGTAGAGGGCTTGCGATGGTGGGTTTTGATTGAGAATGTGATTTTAATACGTGATTAAGCTTTTAAAAAGATTGATTGGAAGTTTTAATCCATTGGACTCTAAGGTCAAGGATGTCCTGGATTTCAATGGAAAATTTGCGGGTTTGTGATGGATGGAAGAGGCTAGGGATGGTGGGATGTGCTTTTGTAAGGGCTTAAGAGAGCTTTGGAAACAATCTGTTAGGGCTTCGACAAGTTTCTCTCTATGTGTATTTTCTTGGTCAAGAGGAAGGCTTATTTTTAAGCCAAGCTAAGGAGCTCCTCTGGCCGAATCAAGGAGAGGATTTGATTCATATTTGTGAGCGGGAAAGAGCAAATCAAGGTGACAAAGCAATGGTTTTCCTTCCACGCCCAATTCACAATTCAATGCATTTCCATTTACATCACTATGAACATTTTTTAAAATTTCAAATTCAATTCTTTGATTTTATATGTTGTTTCATCTTTTAAGAGCCTTTAACTTCACCCTAATGATCTTTTCTTTTATGTACTATTCATGACTGGCTCGCACGTGAGGAGAAGTTTTCGGGTTTTCAAGTAGTCTCAGAGGTGTTATTATGGTGTTTACGGGGTTGTACAGCGGTAGTATTGGCAATTAATTGGAAACACGGGTAGTATTAAACATGGAATAGTGGAGAATCGGTGTCATTGCCCGGCAGGATGAGGCAGTAAAACGGTGGTGTTATTACTGGTCGTATTTTAGTAGTATTATGGTATTATTACGGTTCTACGACAACAGTGTCATGTTGGTGTTATTTTTGGTAGTATGGAGGTGTTATCATGGTAGTATTACGGGGTTATTACAGGTTTACACGTGTGGTATTGAAGTGGCGTTATTGATGGTTATATTGCGGTTGTATCATGGTAGTATTATGCGGCACGCGACATTATTGTGGTTGTATCCGTGTGGGAGTGTGGTGTTATTGTGGTGTTTATTTAGTGCACTTGTGGCCGTGCATTGTGGTGTTTATTTAGGCACTTGTGGTAGTGTATTGTGGGGATTCGTGTTGCAACACCATAATTATAATCCAAAAACTAACCATGGGCATTAGGAATCATTAAAGATTGTCATGATGAATTGAAACTGACCTCATTGGTTTGAATTTGAAAGTTTTGAGGTACATTTTGATTTGGACCTTAGAAACCTTTGGACTTTGGCTTATGGAGGTTGGCCTTGGCTTGAATTTTGGCTTTGAATTGAGTGACATGAGACTTGACTTTGGATTTTGGGGATTTGGTATGATTTTGGCTTTGGACTTAAGGTTTGAAGTGAAATTGTAGATTTTGGCATTCTTGTGGAAAGTCATGGCAATTTCTTGTGGATTAAGGAGATTGGGGAAAGTTGGTTGGTGTGTGCATGGCCAAGCCACCAAGGGTTCCCTTAAAGCCTCTTGATCCTATAGGAACTCATTTTTTGAGCCATCACATGTTGGTCTTAACCATCTCAAATAGGATTTGAGGGCTTGATACCACCCATGTGAGACTTCACGAAAAGAAGTTAAGAAGTGGTTGGAATTTCAATGTAAGGGTGGGTCTCATCACTAGTCATTTAGGATAGTCAATAGAAAAGTCTTATTGCTAGATCTTAAGCTCTAGAAGAAAGACAAGATCTCACCAAAAATGAAGTCATCGGTGTTGACCGAAGTGATCAACAAAACCCAAAAAATTGTCCGAGCAGACATACTTAGAACATAGCTTGAATTGGAGTTAAAACTGACATTGAGTCAGGATTCCCGTGCGGGACTTCCTGATTCAAAGGAAATATTTGAATTGAAGGTTTTGTCAGTTTCTGTCGGGGATGAAATGATTTGATTTTCATTATTTTGCTTTCTTTGTTTATTTTGTTTGTTTTGATTTATTTTGTTTTGGAAGATTAGGTCAAGCAGGAAAGCACAAGGGCTCACGTCTAACTTGAGATCTAATCGAGAATGAAGGGTGCTACATCGGGGAGGAAAGCACAATAACTCACATCCAACCCAAGCAATAGTGAAAGTCTCAATCACATTAGGACGGAAAGTGCAAGGACTCACATCCAACCTAAGCGGTGACAAAGTGACCAGGTTGAGAAGGAAAGCACATGAACTGACATCCAACTCAAGAGCTGATCGAAAAATGTGTATTACATTGGGAAGGAAAACCTAGTGTCTCACATCAAACCTAAGCGGTAACGAGAGTGTCTGTCACATCAGGAAGGAAAGTACAGGGACTCACATCACTTTAAGCTGTGATGGAATGACCAGGTTGAGAAGGAAAGCGTAGAGACTCACATCCAACTCAAGAGATGATAAAAAAATGTATACTACATTGGGAAGGAAAGATCAGGGACTCTTATCCAACCCAAGCAGTAGCAAGTGTGTTTGACACATTAAGAAGAAAATTACAAAAACTCACATCCATCCTGAGCAGTGATGAAGTGTCCATGTTGAGAAGGAAAGCATAGGGACTCACATCCAGCTCTAGAGTTGATCGAAAAATGTGTACTATATTGAGAAGGAAAGCTCAGAGACTCATATTCAATCTAAGCGACAACGAGATTGTCCATCACATCAGAAAAAGAAAATGCAGGGACTCGCATCCATCTTGAGTGATGATGGAGTGCCTAGATTGAGAAGGAAAGCGCAGGGACTTACATTCAACTCAAAAGCTGATTGAAAAATGTGTGCTACATTGAGAAGGAAAGCACAAAGACTCACATCCAACCCAAGCGGTAATATCTATCACATTAGGAAAGAAAGCGCAATGACTCACATCCATCCTAAGTAGTGATGGAGTGACCAGATCAAGAAGGAAAGTGCAGGGACTCACATCCAAATCAAGAGCTAATCAGAAAATGTTTACTACATTGGGAAGGAAAACACTAGGACTCACATCCAACCCAAGTAGTAGCAAGATTACTTGTCACATCAGAAAAGAAATTGTTGGGACTCACATCTATCCTGAATGGTGATGAGGTGACCAGATTGAGAAGGAAAACATAGGGGACTCACATTCAACTCAATAGTTAATCAGAAAAAGTGTACTACAATGGGAAGGAAAGCTCAAGGACTCAAATATGACCCAAACAATAGCAAGAGTGTCTGCCACATCAGAAATGAAAGCGCAGGGACTC